ATCCATATTATTATTTGCCAGATATATGCCATGCATTAGCTTAGTTGTCCCTTATTTTGATGAACAAAAGGTCTGCTTGCAATTTTGTTTAAAAATTTGAGCGAGCTTATTGGGATGTAAAGACATAAGTATGATCAGAATATAAACCACCTTTAAGATTGCCATTTTGTCTTACTGGAATATTTTATGGTTCTTGTTTCTGTCGGCTGTTTTTACAGATATGGATTATGTATTACTTGATATAGCATCACTGGGACAGTGCCTTAGGGTTCAATCAATTTCTTAAACCTTGTAATCAAGTTTGTCTTTATTTGTTCCACTCTACTGTATTACAGGTATTGCTAGGTCTTGGATAGAATTAAACCAACAGGATGTTTTAGCTCGTTTGGTTTACATTACCAGCCAAAACCATCACACTTGTGTCTTGTTTTGTATGCATATCCAAGTTCATTTCTTTCTGGCCACTCTTTTTTCTGTAAGTCCGCAAGAGTTGCTGCTATTATGCATATGTATAGAATGCACTCTGATGCTCTTACTTCTATATTCTTCTTATCTTAGATATTTTTATGAGTTGCAGGTGGCAAGCATTTTTGTTCCTACAGTTGTTGGATTGGCTCTAGTCACATTGTTTAGCTGGTAATTTCATGGCTTGTTTTGCTTTGTTGATGTGGTATCTTATATATACATTTATTGATAACTTTGTAGTTGTATTCATAACTTTTGGTTAAATATTTTCTGTAATTTCTTGCAGGTACATTAGTGGAATTTCTGGAGCTTACCCGGAAGAATGGCTTCCAGAAAATGGCAATTACTTTGTTTTTTCCCTCATGTTTTCGATTTCAGTGGTGGTGATTGCATGTCCATGTGCACTTGGTCTGGCAACACCAACTGCTGTCATGGTTGCTACTGGGGTTGGTGCTAACCATGGTGTGCTGATAAAAGGAGGAGATGCTTTGGAAAGGGCTCAGAAGATTAAGTATGTGATATTGGATAAAACAGGTACACTAACCCAGGGAAAAGCCACAGTAACTGATGTAAAAGTTTTCACTGGAATGGGTCGTGGAGAATTTCTCAGATGGGTGGCTTCTGCAGAGGTGATTCTTTTTTCCTTTTGACAAAAGTATATTTGAATGTGTTTGGGCGTGTTCTTATGATGTGTGTGCATACACATTCTATCAGAGCTCGGTTGGTAATGTCTTTGGTGTCTATTTATGGTTTCAAAGTTAGTGCCTTTTAGGGGGTGGTACAGAAATGACCCATAATTTAGAAGGAATATATGCCATAATGCATCGTGTGACATGCTAGACATAATTAGGTATCGAAGGAAATCACCCCCTCCTCCCCCCATTCTTCTTTATAATTATTAAAAAAATATGAAGGCAATCTATGATTCCCCATTACCCTGTTCACATGTCTCAGGCTAGCAGTGAACATCCATTGGCAAAAGCAATTGTGGAACATGCACGCCATTTCCATTCCTTTGATGAACCTCCTGCAACCAATGATGGCCAAACCCCCAGCAAAGGGTCTACAATCTCTGGGTGGCTTCTTGATGTCTCAGACTTCTTGGCTCATCCTGGAAGTGGTGTGAAGTGCTTCATAGATGGAAAACGAATCTTGGTGAGTTCTTTGGCATAAACCTGTCACATATATTGCAGCTTTAATCTCTAGAAAGATGTTCAATCATGTCTGGGAATACTCATAGGACTGTATCCTTAACAGGTTGGTAACCGGAAACTGATGACTGAAAGTGGAATTGCCATTCCAGACCAAGTAGAAAATTTTGTAGTAGAGCTTGAAGAAAGTGCAAAGACAGGTGTCCTTGTTGCATTTGATGACAACATAATTGGTATTTTGGGGATTGCAGATCCATTAAAGAGAGAAGCTGCTGTAGTAATTGAGGGCCTTCTGAAAATGGGTGTCAAACCAGTCATGGTGACAGGGGATAATTGGAGGACAGCACGCGCAGTTGCTAAGGAGGTTTGTATTATTAACTATAACTCCTCACAAAGCCTATTCATTTGAATAACAATGCTTTGTCATTTTTTTTCTTTTCTTCTTTGATTTTCTTTCAAATATATATATTTTTTAATTTCATCATTTGGTTTTTATTGAGTTATCATATTCTTATAACACGGATCATGAGTTTGACTAGTTAACTTGGTTGATTCAAGTTTTTTTTTTCTTAATTAACGTTTTTTTTTTCAATTTCATTATTTAATAATATTCTGTTGATTGAGAATAAAACTTTATGATTTGTTTTGTTTACTTTCTATTATGTTATTTCAGCTTCATGACCCGAGAATAGTGCTTAACGGGTTAACCTGAGTTGACTGGAGTCATTTTTTGTGTTATTTTTTAATTGATTTTTTTTCAATTTCATCATTCAACACAAGGTCGGTTAATAATTGAGCTTTATAATTTTTTTATTTGTTTTCTATGAGGATATTTTGGTTTTAAGATCAAGGTCATGCGTTTTGGTATTTTAACTCCAGTTAAATCGGGTTGTTTTTTTATTTTCTTTCTAAGAGGTTATTCTCGTCTCATGACTCAGGTCACGAGTCTTTCAACATTAAGTTTGCTTTTTATTGGGTTGTCTGCATCTCATAACTCGGATTGCGAGTTTAGTGGGTTAATCCAATGGACTCAATTATTTTTCTTCTTTTTTTAATTGATTTTTTCCCCTAATCTCATCATTTAATATTATGTTTAATTGGAAATTAGGCTTTATGATTTGTTTTGGTTTATTTTTTATCAGGTTATTTCTATCTCACGACCCGATAATAGTGCATAATAGATTAACTCGGATTAACTTTGACTTTCTTTTTGGGTCATTTTCTTAATTAGAATTTGTTATAAATTTCATTGTTTAATTGGGTCCGACAAAGGTGATTGAAATTGAGTTTTATAATTTGTTTTGTTTTACTCTCTATATGGTTATTTTAGTCTAATGACTAAAATCGTGAATTTGACAGGTTGAATCAGGTTAAATCAAGTAATTTTTTTTTTTTCTATGAGGTTATCTCGGTTTGATTATTTGGATTATAAGTTTGGCTGATTAACTCATTTTTTTTTAATTTTATTTTTCAACATTTGGGTGAATTGAGGATTGTAATTCGTAATTTGTTTTTCATGGGGTTATCTTAGTCTTATAACTCAAGCTAGTTTGACAAGTTAACTCGGGTCACTTTTTAAGGTCATTTTTAATATTTTTTTTCAATTGCATCCTTCAATATTAGGTTGATTGAGAATTATGCTTCATAATTTATTTTGATTTGCTTTATATGGAGTTGTCATAGGCTCATAATTCAGGTCACGGATTTGATATGTTAACCTAAGTTGACCTAAGTCAATCCAATAAATTGTTATCCTAATATTAAAAAAAAAATCATCTTGAATTTTTTTTTAATAAAACTATGTTTTTACGGGTTGTATGAGTTACTTTTAGACTTACAAAGTTAACCTAGTTATATCAGGTCAACCTACACCCAATTTAATTATTTTTTGCTGAAAACAACATTAGCAACATCTGATCAGTCTTTTTATGTTCAAGAAAACTTGAATCAACCTATAGTGTAGCACATGTTAATAATGTAGTAATTTCTATGATGTCTTGCCCATAAATTTTATCCAGAAACTTTGGTAGCAGTACCTACTATTTCCACGAAGGACGATCTATTTTCACACAATTATATACAGTTTGTAGACTCACGACCGAATTGAATGCAATAATCACCTTGTCAGTGTCCACTCTTTCATAAAAGTAGACACCAACTTTCTGGTAATAGAAAAAACCCTATTTATATATCCTGTTTCTGATCTATCTTTTACATTTCTCTTAATTCCACCAAGACAATAGAATCTCAAATCCTTTGACGTTCTGCTGTGACAGTTTCGTTTTTATCTTTACCAAAATATTATTTTTCTATACTTCTCATGAAGTGAAAATTTTGTATTATGACATGTTTTTTTTGTAACAGTTTTTAGTAGTGATTTTACAGTTGATGATGATGTGTTTAGTAACCCACATGAAACAGATAGATTCTTAGTTTTGTTGATTAACTGTTGGTTGCTGGCATCATTTATTGCTCATTCCCTCGCACTTGTGCTGTTATTGATAGGTCTCTTTTTGAAACAAAGCGCTCCCTTACTAGCTTTGTGTTGGTGATTTTAGTTTCACCTTGCTTGCTCGTAGGACAAAAACAAACTATTGTGATTTTTCTTTGTGAAAAAGAAAGTATGGATTTACATTGGGTGGGCTTTTTTTTTGGCAACGAAAATAAATTCAGGTTTTCCTTGTATTGTTTGAAAGGTTTATGATATATATATAAAAAAAAACTAAAAAGTCTTGAAGTACTTTTTCGCTGAGCAGGTGGGCATTCAAGATGTTAGGGCTGAAGTAATGCCAGCTGGCAAAGCCGATGTTATCCAGTCTTTTCAAAAGGATGGAAGCATAGTAGCAATGGTGGGTGATGGCATCAATGACTCTCCTGCTCTTGCTGCTGCAGATGTTGGCATGGCTATTGGTGCGGGGACAGATATCGCCATAGAAGCTGCTGACTATGTCTTGATGAGGAATAACTTGGAGGATGTAATCACAGCCATTGATCTCTCAAGAAAAACCTTTTCTCGCATTAGATTGAATTATATTTTTGCCATGGCTTACAATGTGATCGCAATACCTATTGCTGCTGGGATGTTCTTTCCTTCGCTAGGGATCATGTTGCCACCATGGGTAGCCGGTGCTTGCATGGCTCTTTCATCTGTAAGTGTTGTATGCTCGTCTTTACTTCTTAGAAGATATAGAAAACCCAGACTTACCACCATCTTGGAATTAACTGTAGATTAGAAGGAGAAAAAATAAAAACTCTAGGTTTCATTCAAATCTGTAGGAAATAAATAATTAAAAATGTAGATGAGGTGGAGAACGAAGCATGAAACTTGCAATCTTGTATGTATTTGTTACTTTCTTTCACAACTTATACACTGAGTGGCTGCAATTTTATCACACCAAAATGTGAATGTGATTGTATAATATGATCATTGTTGTGTTTTCTTGTGGTTTTCCCTTTCATTGAGAAGGGCTTGGTTACACCCTCTCGTTTTTAGTACTTTGTGACAGTTTATTAGTGTGAAAACAATTTTAGTTTTTGGAAATTAAAAGAGAAGTATTGGAAAATATAGATGGAGGGACCTAGTTCACATCTTCCTTTTGGAATTTCTATTTGCGAGACTTGATCAGGATTGCTGCCTTGCTGGAAACCGGAAACCTTGGATTTTGAAGTTGGAGCTAGGCTTTATTCTTGGTCTTTATGGCGCAATGGCAGCTTGCCTTCAAAACAGAACATATGAATCGGCTATATATATATATATGAAGATATTGCTGCATATTTTCATTTTCATGTGTTGTTTCTAGCTGATTCATTAATGATAGATTAAGGTCAAAGCTCCAAAACTGGCAACGTAACAGGAAGGTGAAAGATCTCGCTCACCAAGGCCTGATGCCTGGAAATGGAGATACTTGAGCAAAGCCACAACTGAACTAGAGAAAAGAAAAATTGACATGGAAAATATAAATCTGGTATTGGACGTGGTAAGTTGAAGATAAACGAAGGATAGTTCATGGTCTTATTGTTTGCGTGGGCTCAGTTAATTTAGGTGAAGTGTTTGATTTGAATTTAATTAATAAATAAGTTGAATTTATATATTTAAGAGGTAAAATTTAATTTATTTTGTTTTCTATATTATATTTTTTATCTTTATCTTGTTTCTTTAATTTTTTTAAAAAATAGATGAGTATTTAAAAAAAATTAGTATTTAAAAAAAATTAGTTTTAATATTATTATTTTTTTTAAGAAATATAAATCAGAGGAGTTAATATCTTATTTATTTTTAGAAATTAAATTTCATTTGATTCAAACGTGCTGAGTATAAACTTGTGCCCATGTATTCATACTTTCTTCTCGAGATTTATTTATTTGTTTGTTTGTTTGCATTGTAACCGTTTATTATGGCAAGTAATCAAGGAAAGTGGCTTTTTATCTAACAAGACATGGTAATAAAAGGTGTCTTGTCTTAACAAATAAAAGAAAAGAGATAGACGAAAGGAATGAATTTAACGTGATTGAAAAATTCTTTTTTAACAGAAAAAAAAAACCGAAAAAAGAATGACAATCATACTGTGCATCCACTGAATGATCGAAAGAATTATAAAATAGGTATGCAAATTACGAAATTGGAAGTTAAATATGTTTTTTTTGTGGAAAGTATTTTTTAAAAAAAAATTCTTCTATTTTTCGGTGTAAAATAAATTAACAAAAAATCTATTTCAGCCCATTTTTGAATAGTATTAATTTTAAAAACATATATTTTAACTTCATAAAGGTCAAAAAAATAGTTTCATTAATATTACTATTATAAAAAAAAATAGTTTCATTAATATTACTATTATCACAACACTACTAAAATATCAATTATAATAACAACCGTTTTCAAAATTAATTTAGGTTATTTTTTGAAGGGATTCTTTCGTATGAATAAATATCTATTAATATTACTATTTTTGCTCCTTTTATTGAGGTTAAATCTTTATTCTAGATCTATTTTTTAAAGGGATTCTTTAAGAGGTTAAATCGATTTTTTTTCTAATTAATTTTTTAATATTAGGTGGTTGGAAATTGAACTTTATAATTTTTTTCAATTTACTTTCTATAAAATTATTATAATTTAAAAGTCTATGTTACGAGTTTGGCTAGTTGAATCAAATTGAGTCGATTCATCTTTTTTTCTTTTTAATTAAATATTTTTTAATTAGACTTTGTAATTTGTTTTTTTACTTTTTATGTTGTTATCCTTATTTCATGACCCAGGTTATAAATTTGGTAAGTTGATTCGATTTATTTTTTAGTGTCTTTTTTTAATTGATTTGTTTTCAATTTCATCCTTCAATTATTCAATAATCTTATTTATTTAGTTTTATTTTTTAATTTTATTCTTCAATATGAGATTGTCTAAATGATTTAATTTTTTTTTTCTCAATTTCAACTTTTAACGTTGAATTTGTTGGAAATAGAACTTTAGAAATCTTTTTTGTTTCACTTTTTATAAAATTATATCAGTCTTATAATCTATATCGCGAGCTTAATAAGTTGGGGTTGACTTGGGTTGAGTTTTTTAATCTTTTTTAATTTTATTCTTTAATATTGGGTTAGTTAGAAATTAAAATTTTTGTTTTTTTATGAGGTTATTCTAATCTTATGACCCGAGTTACGAGTTTAATAGGTTAACTCCAGTGGTTTTTTGTCATTTTTTTCAATTTTTATTTTTATTTTTCAATTTCATCCTTAAACATGAGGTTGATTAGAAGTTGACCTTCTTAATTTATTTTAATTTGTTTTTTATAGGGTTATCACAATCTTATATCTAGGGTCATAAATTTGATAAGTTAACTCAGGTTGATTCAATATATTATCGTCTTAATATTTTAAAAAATAATTGTTATCAAACATGTCATTGTATTAATAATTAAAAAAAATATATATCCAAAATACATCATGTTTTGAGTTAATAGATAATTTTTTATATTCTAAAATGCTTGAACATTTGTTTTTATATTAAATAAATTGATCCGACCTTCCACACAAACCAATAATTTAGTAACTTAATATTAAATGTATTTAGTATGAACTGTATGATATGTGTGTGTATATATATATTCCTATTGGACAATTTAAATCCTCCAAAATATATTATTTAAAAAATATATATTGTAAAGTACAAAATCTTAAATCAAGTAATGAAGATAAAAAAAAGATATTTTTTATGTAATATTTTTTTTCTTATTATTTTAAAAGGAACATTAAAAGGAGTATATTTAGAAGGTAAAATTAAAGGGCAATCAAATCACATATTCAATAAGAGTACTTTAATCTCTATAATAAATGGAGTGCTAGTAATAAGTTATGGAGTGAGCAAAACATCACCCTTTATACAGTCATGTTATTGTATTTTATATTAGAACTCAAAATAAACGAACAGCTCTAATAGCCTGCTAAATTCATTTGGCCACAGCCACAATATCTGAAATGTTAGGGAGGAGAACCAACTATATGGTAAAAGAAAGGTACTTTAAATGTATTGAAAAATAAATTGGTCATTTATTTTTCAATAGTGGGGGTTATCAACAAAAAATTATTATTTTTCATTAATGTCTTTTTCAAAAACAAAACACACACTAAATATAAAACACCACAAAATAAAATAAAATAAAGCAAATTATCCCTTTATAATAACAAGTTTTAAATATCATATTGAATCCTCAACTGTATATGGTTGACATTTGAGATTGTGGTTAAGTATCTATTTTGTAATGTGATCTTTTTTATTTTTTAAATTATTTTTTATTTAAAAAAATATTAAATTAATATTTTTAAAGTAATTTTTATAGTTTTAATGTATTAATATTAAAAAAATATTTTCAATGAAAAAATAGTTTAAAAAAATACCACACCACATTACAAACTAATAGTAAGAGGCCCGCTGAGATTTAATATGGTTATTAACTAAGTGTAGTATATGTGTGATAATTAGATTAATACTTTGCAGAATTGCTGCATAGTTTAAATTCCATGAATTATATTTTGGAGAATCACCGAATACTAAAGAAAAAGGTTCCAAAATTATTATTTAAATTTGAATGTTGGGGTCAAGAAACAACCTATAAAATAAAATATTTTTTGTTTAGAAATATATTAAAATAATAGTTTTTTATTTTTAATATCAGTATATTAAAATAATAATAAAAAATTAAAAATATTAATTTAAAAATAAAATAAAAATTAATTTTTTTAAATATATCCAACCGCATAAACAACTACACTACAAAATCATGAATTGATGTTTGTTGTGTAGTGAAAGTGATGAGTGCAATCTTGACATAATGTCCACAGGACCATGCCACCCCAAATATGATGAGTAAAGTTGGTCTAGTGATTGATTTGGTTAAGTATTCTCGTTATATGAGTTAATATGAGACGGTTCAAGAAAATTAAAAAAATATTTAAAATTTTAATATTTTATATAAAAAATTAATAAATAATCTATGTGGATATAAACTATATATATTGTAAATAATAAAATTTAAAAAATTATTTAAAAATATTTTTCTATTTCATATTAAAAATATATTATTTTTTTATTTTAAATTGAAGTATTTAAATTAAAAGTATTTATTATCTCACATTAAAAAATATAATTTTTTTCTTTGAATGTAAAATATATATATTAAAAAAATAAA